GATAAACCGAGGAGAAGAAAAACTTACAGATGTCCACCGTTCTCAGACGCGCCTTCGGCACGCTTTGACCTTCTGGTTTTTGAGGAAGAACGGGACCTGTGCCTCAAGCGATGCACTATTCGTCTGATAATCGAGCGTTTGGTTTCTTTGGCGACTGTTCTGTCAGCTTCGGAGAGGGACGGCCTTTCACTGCGACTGGAGGTATTTTCCTTAATCTCGTCGGAGTGTTGTGGCGGTGCTGATGGATTTTGTGCAAAATTCTCCTTGATGGGTGAGGTGGGATTCAGGACCGATATGCGGCGGTGGGGTTCAGACACCTGCAAACAGGTTTTTGTCTCCTCATGCAAAAGGTCCAGAAGATAGTCCATGAATTCGAAGGCATCCTGTTGCCTTCGAGGCAAAAATCGAAAGTGAAAGTAGAAAAAACTGAACTGCGCCACGGAAACACCATAAACTGCAAGGGTTGACGCCATCAGAAAAATGGCCATTCTGGTAGATTCATGAACAAAGCTTAGTGCCATAACTTGGTCATCTTTTAAATAAAACTGATCCTGGCTGGAAGTCTACAATCTCGGGATCACTGAAAAGCTCGCATTAAAATCCACTTGCTTCTGCATCTTACTGGCCTACAGTAGAGGTCTTAAGTTAAAAGCGGACAATTTATTACGAATTGTAGTGTACATCGTATTTTCACGGTGAAAAGGTGGGGAGGAGCACTAGCAAACATCTCCGCCGCTGTGCCTTGACAGTAAGTATTTTGAAGGATGCTCGAACTATCTAGGAGAAAGGGTCATTGTTCTAGCAAACCACGCGCTAATACATTCATTTCGGGAGAGCGGAAATCAGGTCACACAAAGTTCGGGTCAGTTGCAAATAGCAACTGCGCATAATGGACCCATCACTAACCAAAAGCCTGAGATGTCGATGAATTTATTATCATATATGTTGGGTCGTTATTTCCTTACGGGACACGCAGAACTGTGAGAAAAATAAATTAGCACTTACAGATTGCCCGCGTACGTTGGCACCACCTTGGAGAATGCACTCTTGAATTTTTGAATGGTAGATGCAGGAACAGTGCCGCCGGCGGTGGATTGCATCTTGGCAAGCACATATGTTAGGGCTGAGGAAAGAAAAGATTGATCAACAGCTGGAAGTATTATAGGCTGTGTACAATTTGTAGCAACCCAGTAGTCGTACATGTCGTTTTCAAAATTACAGTTCAACTTAAAATTTGGCCACACTTTGATGGGCACCTTTTGAAAGCAGGGTTTAAATCATACATGAAAATATGATCATTAATTTGAAAATACACGTTTTTGGTTCTTAATTTTAGAAATACCGCGACCTTAAAAAAACACGTGAACCCATTCACCCTCCAAAGCTTCAAAATAGGTAATTTTACTCCTATTTATCGTCATTACGCTACCGTTCACCAGCGTTGTAGATTACAATGCTATACTACCAACTATTACCGACGAGAGGTGAACTCGACAGACGACTACAAAACGCGTTTCGCAGTTACAAGGATCAAACCCTGAGTCTTGTAGATATGGCCTTTGCTGAGCCCACGCTTCTTAATCCATAGTATTCAAGAAGTCGAGATAGGCGAACAAACGTTTTCGATTAATTCATCATCAGGCGTGTACACTAATATAAAGGGGGATAGAGTTAGCAAAAGTTTAAGCAACCAATCAGCGGTATTTGAGGGGGGAGGG